CCGCACGAACCGTACCTGTCTCATTTTCCTGGAGCTGAGGATTATCGCTTGATGGAAAAAGTTTACAGCGATCTTCTAAACTTACCTGAGGAGGGTTTCAATGCCGAGAAATACGTCATCACGTTTACAGAAGCTTCTACTCGATACGTCTGGACTGGTAATATGACTAACCGTTTTCTTGCCTTCACAGCGTTTCGAACATGGCTGCCTCTCGCAGAACGCGAGTCAGACACCAAACTAAAATCCTTCCAGTGTGACGGAGCCGGGGAGTATCGAAGTCTCGAGTTTACAACGTACCTGCAAGAGAGAGGCATACGGCATCTATTCTCACTTCCTCACGCTCACCAACAGAGCGGTGTAGCAGAACGCCTCAATTGAACTCTGCAAGAAAAGATGCGAGCCCTGCTCGCCCAATCTCAGCTCGGCCCCCTCTACTGGCCCTTCGCGATGGCCCATGCAACGCTGTTGCATAATCTTCTATCTTCATCGGCTCTACCCAACAACGCATAACCCCACTTGTTGTGGACAGGCAAATTGGGCACTACAAAACTTCTTCGAGTTTTCGGGTGTGTTGTGCAATATCGTCCTCCTACAGCTCCGCTAGGAAAGTTTGATCAACGTGCTAAGTGGGGTCTTCATCTCGGCCTCGAGAAAGAGTTTTCTGCCTGGCGTATCATGGATTATCGCAGTCGCCTTTTGGTTCCTGCCCGTGACTGTATTTTCTACGAGAATCTGACCCTTCCTGTCTTCGAACAATATCTCGCCACACAACGTGACCCTGCTACTTGTCAAGAAATGAGAATGAAAAGTTAGAAATGAGAAAGAGGGGTTTCACTAGCAAGCAGTTGAGTACATATAGCAAACCCTAAATTTGGGCTGTACTCACTATTGAGTACCCCACTGCAGGCTAGACAAAACATAACATTCTGACACACCCCCATAGCCAAAGTGGGGTGTAATCAGCACAACAAGCAAAGCAAAACAAGCTCAGCGTGGATCACAACGTCACCACACATTCTGAGCACAAGTACAAGAAGCAGCAGTTTATAGTTCACAAATATAAGCAAAGCTAGAGGCAGTCACAGACGGTAAGTGAGGAGGAGGAGGGACTGTGAGAGGAGAAGAGATAGGAGACGAGAGGTGAAGCTGCAGAAACACGGGCAACTGGAGCGGCGCGCACTGTGGCTACCGGAGATTGTAGCCTCCGGACTACTGGAGTAACTGGCTCCGCGGCTAACTCTGAGCGGCAGGAGCAACGGACCCACGGGCGACTGGCGCAGCAGGCTCGCTGGGCTACCGGAGATTGTAGCCTCCGGACTACTGGCGCTGCTGGCGACACGACAGCTGCCTCCGCCCAACCTCCCTCTAACTGTCTCACCCCCCTTTCACACACCCCCTGTTGCACCCCTAGGTTCACTCACACTCCACCCCCTAGCACCACTCCGTCGACTCACACACACCCACCCCCCTCAGCGGCAGCTGCAGCAGTAGGAGGAGGAGCAGGGGATGCCACACACCCGCCACCCAGCTTTCACCCCCATACACGCCACCCCCAAACCCCAACACAGGGTAGGGCCGCGACGAAGACGGGGGCAGGGCCGGGCAGGGCAGGGTCGGGCAGGGCCGCGACGAAGACAGGAGGGGCCGACGCGTGGCCCCCTTCTGTCGCCCCTCCCGTCGCCTGTCGAGGCGACCCTGGGGGGGGGGGCCGCGCGCGGCCCCCCCCAGGGCGCCGCGACGGGCGACGGGAATTGGGGCCGCGCGGGCCCCCGTTGGCGCTGCGACGGGCGACGAGGGGGGGGCCGCGCACGAGCCCCCCAGGCGACGAAACCGCCGTGCGCCCCGGGGCGCGCGACGGGCAGGGCACCGCCGCACGCCACGGGGCGCACGACGGGCAGAGTAGGGCGTCGCGCGGCCCCCAGGGCGGCGCGACGGCGCCATGGGCGCGCGGCAGGCAAGCAGGCAGCGCGCGCCCGAGGCGCGCGATAGACAGAGTAGCAGCAGCGGAAGTATTGGGTGGGCCCATACACAGGATCGACCCGAGGGGGTCGACCTGCTCTGATTCCATGTCAAGAAATGAGAATGGAAAGTTAGAAATGAGAAAGAGGGGTTTCACTAGCAAGCAGTTGAGTACATATAGCAAACCCTAAATTTGGGCTGTACTCACTATTGAGTACCCCACTGCAGGCTAGACAAAACATAACATTCTGACACTACTCTCTTCCACGGTGTTTGCTCATTCGCCAGCACCGACGCCGAACTCGCTGCCAGCGAAGAACTTGACCTCGACAGTGCACGTGAAGCTGCTCCCGATCCACCTATTCCAACCACTTCTTCCGGATTTCCGGAATTTATTCCTCTCATTGACACTCATCCAGAGGACATTCGCAATATTCATCATACTTACCTCGTCAACGACCAACGACGTCCCATGCCAGTTGTAACTGACAGCAGCATCTGCGTCGATCCTGATGAAATTGGGGGGGCAAGTGGTGAACAGAGTGAACCTGTCAATTTCGCAGGTCAGACCGATGAAAATCCTCACTATCAGACTGGGCTTCAAATACTGGGGCTAGCAGCAGCCGTACATCACAACTCTACAGACGTCGCAGAACCGAAAACTACCCGACAGGCTCTTTCAGGACCACATCGCGAAAAATGGCGTGAAGCTATGGATCGCGAACTGGCTGCCCTGGAAAAACGGGAGACTTGGGAACTCATACCCATCGAAAAAGCTGTAAATAAAAATGTTCTTACCGGAAAGTGGGTCTTCAGGCTGAAGACGAAAGCTGATGGCTCTTACGAAAAACATAAGGCAAGGTGGGTTGTTGGTGGTTTTGACCAAACTCATGGGGTAGACTACACGCTAACTTTCGCCCCGGTCAGCCGACACACAAGTGTTCGTCTCGTCATCTGCGAAGAATTTTCCGCTTCGACAAATTGACGTTTCCAACGCGTTTCTGTACGCTGACGTCGATGTTGAAATCTACGTCGAATATCGCATTGCCTATCCGACAAATCCGCCAAGTGTCTGCAAGTTCAAGAAGTCACTGTACGGTATCAAACAAGCACCGCGACTGTGGCAGCAGCATTTGAACAGGAAACTGATAGAAGTTGGGTTCCGACAACTACCGCATGATCCCGGGATGTATCGACTAGACGACAAGGGGAGCTATGCGTTGCTTGTGGCATACGTGGACGACATTCTCTACGTCAGCTCTTCGGCTTCTTTGGGTGATCGCATCGAAGCAGATTTGAAGAAATCTCTCGATTTAACCGTCTCCACCGAAGTAACCCAATTTCTTGGGTTAAACATTTCGCGAACCTCCTCCGCCATCCACCTCACAGCATCGAAGCATGCTGAGTCACTCGCTAAGCGTTTCAAGATTTCTACAAATTACGTCGCTACAACCTATCGATCTACACCCACCGGGCACGACCTAAACAACACCAAACTTTCAGCAGCTAGCCTACAACTGTACCAGCAGCAACTCGGGTGTCTTCTCTTCGCAGCAGTCACATGCCGTCCCGACCTTGCTTATGTCGCAAGCTATCTCGCACAGTTTTTACGCTGCCCAAAAGAAGACCACCACCTTGATCTTCAGCGCGCTCTACACTACTTTGTCGCAACACCACCAGTCGGACTGATTTTCAACACAGGAAAACCGACCGACAAAATGTACCTCGGCGGATATGTCGATGCAGACCACGCTGGAGACACGTCAGATCGTCGGTCACGAACAGGCTACGTCTTCCGTCTTGAGCCAATTGGCCGGATCTCGTGGAACTCATCGAAACAGGAACTCGTGTCACTTTCCTCAGCTGAAGCAGAATTCATTGCCGTGTGTGCTGCAACCCGAGAAGGATTATACTTACAGGAACTGCTCGACGAAGCAAAATTCGTCACGCCAAATCAGTTTACGCTGCAGTGCGACAACCAGAGTGGAATTACCATCGCCAACAAGCCCGGCTTCGTCAATCGCACGAAACATATTTCACTGCGTTACTTCTTCGTCAAAGATGCGATCGACAAGGGGAGAATGCGCCTTGTCTACTGTCCCACTGGTGACATGGCAGCTGACTCACTTACCAAGAAGCTGACACGACAGAAATTCCACCATTGCAACCAGCTCAACGGAATTTCTGAGACAACTGGGTAACTACACCGAACTCCTAGATAGAAGTGAAGGGGAGTGTTGAGATAATATCGAGACTTAAGCACTTCAAGGAAATTCGTGTAGTACAGTAAAGTACCGATAGGCTGACGTCAGCAAAGCACTACGCGCCCTAGGATGACGTCAGCAAGTAACTATAGGCCTCGCGAATAGTTACGTACCGTTTCAGAATAGGAGTAGCGAGAATAGCACAGTACAATAGGCGAAAATGTACTTTACTCTAGCTATATATTCTGTGTGCTTGTCATCTTTTAATATATCTGATTTCAGAGACATAGATCCTGAAACATATCACTACATGAGCTTTGCTTATTAAGCTCAGACAAGCCTCCTACACTGGCTTTATCTCATACAAAACTTCCGCTACGACAGGAAGCTACCATCCTAAGTATACGATCCTATTCAGTCATTTCAAATTCTAACAACCCTAAACCATCCCAAATTCAAGATAACCCAAGCATTTTCAGTAGTGTACGAGATAAGACATATATGTCTACTATCCGGGCGATGGCGGTAGTTATCATTGGACGAGATTTATGTACTCATACCCATATGAAATGAAGCACGATGCCTTTACAAGTTGCAGAAAGCAAGCTTTCACAATAATAACCCTTCCATATTGGATGAGGGATATGATGTGACATATGTAGTTACCGTGAGTGAGCCAGTATTGGAAATCTGTTTTTAGAACACAGGGCCCAAACACACTTTCTCTAAAGCATTTACGGTGGTACAAAAGCTTATTACACTACCCATCTCTAAGTACCTTAAAAATGGATTGTTTTATCTCAGGCCTTGGACATTTTTTGAAGCCTTGGAGCAGTACTACCAGTCAGGGGCTTTGGGCCGCTTGAGGACAGCCGAATTGATGTCCTCCTCTCGCTTTGCCTTGTCCTTGATGAACCAATCGCACACTCGCCCCGCATTCAGCTCCTCTATCGGCATGCCCTCCTGCTCTGATATCACACGCAGCAGGTTCAGCGACGAGATCTGCACCCAGAAACACAGCAATCCAGCTTGATGGAACCGTAGTAGCCACACCAGTCTCTGCGCACCCCAAAATACGTGAGACACGTATTCTGGTGTGCAGCTTTGCAACAACAGAATGGTAAAAACTGTCATAAACCCCCCTTGCCTGCCATCTCGATCTCCCATTATCATCTCTCCTTCCTCCTCACTCCTTCCCACACCATCCTCTCCTCTTCTCGTGGTGCCCTTCTCAACAAGACACATGATACATTCCACCCTTCTGGACAGCCACCATACTTCATCATCAACCCACACATGGCAAATCAACATCCCACCATGCCCGTTGCTCATCCCACCATGCCCGTTGCTCATCCCACCATGCCAGATTCTCATCCCACCATGCCCGTTCCTCAACCCACCATGCCCGTTCCTCATCCCACCATGACCGTTCCTCATCCCACCATGCCCGTTCCTCATCCCACCATGCCCATTGCTCATCCCACCATGCCCGTTCCTCATCCCACCATGCCCGTTCCTCATCCCACCATGCCCGTTGCTCATCCCACCATGCCCGTTGCTCATCCCACCATGCCCGTTCCTCATCCCACCATGCCCGTTCATAATCCCACCATGCCAGATTCTCATCCCACCATGCCCGTTCCTCAACCCACCATGCCCGTTCCTCATCCCACCATGACCGTTCCTCATCCCACCATGCCCATTCCTCATCCCACCATGCCTGTTCCTCAACCCACCATGCCCGTTCCTCAACCCACCATGCCCGCTCCTCATCCCACCATGACCGTTCCTCATCCCACCATGCCCATTCCTCATCACACCATGCCCGTTCCTCAACCCACCATGCCCGTTCCTCATCCCACCATGCCCGTTCCTCATCCCACCATGCCCGATCCACATCCCACCATGCCCGAAACACATCCCACCATGCCCATTCCTCATCCCACCACGCCCGTTCCTCATCCCACCATGCCCGTTCCTCATCCCACCATGCCGGATTCTCATCCCACCATGCCCATTCCTCATCCCACCATGCCCGTTCCTCATCCCACCATGCCCGTTCCTCATCCCACCATGCCCGCTTCTCATCCCACTGTGCCCGTTGCTAATCCCACCATGACCGATCCACATCCCGCCATGGCCGTTCCTCATCCCACCATGCCCGTACCTCATCCCACCATGCCCGTTCCTCATCCCAGCACCGCGCCTCGCAACTCACCGCGCCACGCATCTCACCGCGCCTCGCATCTCACCGCGCCTCGCATCTCACCGCGCCTCGCAACTCACCGCGCCTCGCATCTCACCGCGCCTCGCATCTCACCGCGCCTCGCATCTCACCGCGCCTCGCAACTCACCGCGCCTCGCAACTCACCGCGCGTCGCATCTCACCGCGCGTCGCATCTCACCGTGAGGCGCGCCAGGAATCGCTCGTGCGCGTCGAGCCCCGCCAGCTCCACCAGCCCGGCCTCCTCCAGCGACAGAAACGTCTCCGGCCCGCCCGCGCCGCCTATGGCGCGTACGGCAAACCGCGAGGCCGGCGGGGGTCGGCTGAATTTTTTTCGTGCGGGAGGAGCAGATTGGAAGTGGAGCGACAAGCGCGGTTCGTGCGGCGCATGGGGCGATCGGAGGACGGACGCGGAGCGGGTGGAGGGCGGCACAGATCGGCGGACAAACGAGCAGTGCGGCGCGGGGAGCCACGCCAACGAGGCAGCCATACCGTTCTGACAATTGGACTGTGAAACGTGGAGGAACTGGAATGAACTTGCTGGAGTGTCAGGGGCAAGGGCGAGTCCTTAGCTCGGGTGTGCATTGGTGAACGCATCCTCGGTAAGAGTGAAGTGAGGTTCGACAACCACATACCAGCTACAAATACGTGAAACCTGTTTGAAAAAAATATCTATAAAAACTTTGTGAATTCCTTAGTTTCTTGACATTGTCTTGTTCTCAAACGAGAAAAAGGAAAGTTGCTGTTGGAATAATCAACTAGTAGATGTTCGAATCCGTCTTTATTTTCATACAAAACAATCTCCCCTAAACAAGTTCAACAACCAATCAATTAAAGAGCGTCGTGGTCAGTTCAACGTGATGCACTAACGTTCTCGAAAGTTCTTTGCACCAATTGACGACCCTTGGATGGAATGAGCACAAGAAGAAAACCAAGATATGACAACTAGACAGCAGGTGGCGATAAAGGGTATGAGGCGATTGTGAAGGTTGCGTGCTTGTGTAATGAAGCGAACAAATGCAATTTGAGCATGCCCTGAGATTTCAGCCTTTTTACGCTGATTCATCAGACCATTTCCATGAACCTTGGTATGAAACAAGAAGAATAAATAGAATCATCATGCAGAGGACAGGGCTGCTGTATCAAATTTTGGGCTCCCTAACCTAGAACTTGGAACAGTTTGGCCAGAAAATGGGCAGTCTGATTGCTCAAGTCACCACCAGATGTTGCACCGTCTGATCGTTCAGGGTTGGGTGTCAGAATCAACTGTGCAGGAATGAATGAACTATGAATGAGCTGGGTACAAGTACTAACCCTAAAGTGTTGTACCCCTTGTAGGCTAACCCACTATAGCCTAGAGAGAACACAAACATACAGTTTGACACACCCCCATAGGCTAAGTGGGAGAGAGAAAACACAACAGACGGTCACAAAACTAGTCAACCAAGAGAACAAGCAAAGCAAAGCTCAAGGTGGATCTCAAGGACACCAAACAATCTGAGCACAAGCAAGCGGCCACAAGGCCAGTTCACATGCATAGTTATAATAGCAAGGCAATACACTCACCACAACCTAGCAAAAGTAAACAAGCAGGTATAATGATATATATATATGTGTACAACAAGAGCAAGTCAAACAACCAGCAGGTGAGGCAGAGTGGGCACAAGCCCAAGAGCAGTGCAGAAACGCTGATGATCACCAGACCCAAGGGCCTTGGTGAACACATCAGCAGTGTTGGCCCGCGAGGCCACGTAGGAAAGGCGGAGCTGACGACGCTGCTGCAGCTCACGTGCAAGGAAGTAGTGAAGAGCAATATGCTTCGTTCTGTGCTCCAGTCTCTGCTCGCGACACAAGGCAAACATTGCCTTGTTGTCGACGTACAGAACTGGAGGAGAACGAGGCCGCTCCCCCAAGTCGGTCAGCAGGTAGGTCAGCCAGCGTAGCTCCTGTGCAGCCATGGCCCCAGCGTAGATCTCAGCCTCACAGCTGGAACTAAGCACAGAAGAAGAACGAGTGGACCTCCACGAGACAGAACCAAAGCCAAGACTGAAGGTGTAACCCTGTGACAAACGCTGAGTCGCCTGGTCGTCAGCCCAAGAAGCGTCGGAGTGTCCTGTGAGTACCACTGAACCCCGTCCTCCAAGCACGAGCCCCATGCCCGATGTACTGCACAAGTAACACAGTACCCTCTTCGCAGCATCCCACCTTTCAGTGTCTACCGGGAGCCACGTAGCGAGCCAGGAGGCTGAGAGGGTACGTAAGGTCAGGTCGCGTGCACGTCATCAGGTACATGAGGCAACCCACAAGCTCTAGGTATGAACCACTCGGCTCTACGGACTCGTTCGAAGGTGGAGCTGAGAGCGAGTGGCCGGTAGACAGAGGAGTGGGCTGTGGCGAGGAAAAATGGAAGTCGAAGCGCTGAAGCACCTAGTGCACCATGTGTGACCGAGTTAGGGTGATGGTGCACCGTGCTCTGTCCCGGGTGATCTGCAAAGCCAAGATAGCTGTGCAACTCACCCAGGTCAGTGCAGGTGTGTCTCTCCTGCAGCTCCGCCTTCACTAGGGCCAGTGCCTCAGTGTCAGCAGTAGCAAAAACCAAGTCGTCGACGTACACGAGAACGTAGAACGGCGGCAGGGTAGTGTCGGTGCGTAGAAACAGCAACGGGTCAGCAGAGGAAGGAGCAAACCCAAGAGCCGCAAGTGTCGTCCTCAGTGTGTCGTGCCACTCGCGAGGCGCCTGGCGGAGACCGTAGACTGGCCGCCGGAGGCTCCACTGGGTACCCGCAGGAAACGACCAAGTGAAGCCAGGTGGGCGGCGCAGCCAGATCTCCTCGTGAAGGCTGCCCTACAAGAAAGCTGTGGAGAAGTCGAGGGACTGCAGCTCGTAGTCACGCTGTGCTACAACGTGCAGCAACACCCGAAGAGTAGTCATCTTCGGGGTGGGGGAGAAGGTATGGAAGAAGTCGACCCCCTGTCGCTGACTGAAGCCTCGAGCAACATAACGTGCCTTGAAGGAAGGCGGAGAACCCGGCGGCCGCTTCACTCTGAAAATCCACATGCCATCGACTATGTTCGCCGCAGGAAGAGGAACCTTGTCGACGTAGGTGCCTGTGGAATTCCAGGAAGCCATCTCTGCGTCCATGGCTGTTTGCCACTGAGAGGAGTACTCACCCGCGATCGCCTCAGCGTAAGAGCGCAGGGTAGGGATGTCAAGTGCATCTGGGTCTCCAGCATGAATGCGAAACGAGGTAAAGCGGCCGCAAGACACTCAAGCTCAAACCGCCTGTCCTCAAGGACGTCACTGCTAAGGGCAGGCTCACCCCCGACGGTCGAAGGACAGACAGACCCAGACTCAGTAACAAGACTCGCGACGTAGTCGAGACGACTCCTAGCTGCAAAGTCGACTAGCTCAGTGATTAGGGCAAACTCTGCAGAAGACTCAAGGTCAGGGTCAGTGACGACAGTAGCGAGGAGACGAGTGACAGTAGGACTGGTAGCACAAGCAAGGTCGGACTCAGGGACAGGAACGTACGGAAGAGAGGATGCGGGAGGCTCAAGCAGGACAACACGCTATGGAACTGAACAAGGACAAAGTGCCATACCGTGAGTGCCTGGAACAGTAGGAGGACGAGGACGGGCGACACGAGGAGCACGAACAGGTGTGGAAGCACGAGTCTCAGGCTCATGACGCTCATTCAGGGACTCAGTCACCTCAGTGTGAGGAGCAGGAGCAGGCAGCGGGGAGTCAGGTTGTAGCTGTGGCTGAGACTGGTGTGTCGGTGGACACCGGAGAGGTGGAGTGAGGCCAGTAGAAGATGGGAGACTAAGAACCTGGCGAAGGACCGAGTCAGGCGGCGGCAGGGATGGTTGCGGCTGTGGGTAGAAAAACGGTCGGTGCCGGGCAGTACCAGCAGCTCTAGCTCCTCCAGCACCAGCAGCTCCAGCACCTCTAGCACCAGCAGCTCAAGTAGCACCTCCAGCACCAGCACCACTACGAGCTCCGGTAGCTCCAGCACCTCTAGCACCAGCAGTACCTCCAGCACCTCCAGCGCCAGCATCTCCAGCAGCACCTCCAGCACCTCCAGCACCAGCACCACCACCTGCTCCGGCAGCTCCAGCACCTCTAGTACGTGCACCTCCAGGACCAGCAGCTCCAACACCTCCAGCACCTCCAGTACCTCCAGTAGCACCTCCAGCACCTCCAGCACCAGCAGCACCACCAGCTCCGGCAGCTCCAGTACCTCCAGTACGAGCACCTCCAGGACTAGCAGCTCCAGTACCTCTAGTATCTCCAGCTCCAGCGCCTCCAGCACCGGCAACACCTCCATCACCTCCAACACCAGCAGCACCAGCACCTCCAGTGCCAGCAGCTCTAGCACCTCCAGCACCAGCTGGACCTCCAGTACTAGCAGCTCCAGCACCTCCAGCACTAGTAGCACCTCCAGGACTAGTAGCCCCGGCACCTCTAGCACGAGCACCACCTCCAGCACCTCCAGGACTAGCAGCTCTAGTACCTCCAGCACCAGCAGCACCTCTAGTACCTCCAGCACCAGCAGCACCTCCAGCACCTCAAGCAGTACCTCCAGCACCTCCCGCACCAGCAGTACCTCTAGGACTAGTAGCTCCTGCACCAGCAGGACCGTACCCTCCACCACCAGGACTGCCTCGCCGGACGATCCACGCACGAATCGCCTGCGACGAGAGTGTCTAAAGTAGATCAGGTTGCGGTGGCTGTCCAACTCCAGGACCTCCAGCAGGGTCACCCACAGCTCCATCGCCACTAGGACTCGCAGCTACCCAGAATCAGCACCCCCACTCGCAACACCCCCAGAACCCTCACCCTCTGTCTCAACACCCCCAGGCTCAGCACCAGCAGTCCCACCTCCAGATTCCACAGCAGCAGGCTGCGGAGGTGGCGAAGACGGCCGAGGCGGTAAACCAGGGGGGGTCTCCAAGCGTGGAGAGTGGCGAGTGGCCGCCGTGTCGTCAGCGGCGGGGTCACCCCCCTCAGCTGGGCCAGAGGATTCAGAATAGATCTCCAAAGGCTCGACCAAGGGGGGTGGGTCTACCTGAGACACACCTGAGGGAGCAGGACACTGTGGGGGGAGGAGGTCTACCGGGGGGGGGGGGGGGACTGGTACCAGGAAGAGAGGCGCTAGGGGGACCGGGTGGGACGCGTGCGAGTGTAGCATGTAGAAACAGACAAACTCGTCAAAGGTGATGTCCTGGGAGGAAAAGACTCAACGAGCGCGCGGGTGGTAGAACTGCCACGGCGGGGTGTCGGTGGGGAAGCCAAGGAAGACACATCGGAGAGTGCGGGAGGAGAGCTTGCTCGCTTTGGCATCGCGAACAAGGGAGAGCGCGCCCCAGACCCGAAACACCAACGCATCGCCAACCTTCCCCGTCCATCGGAGTGTGGGCGAGGTCTCTGGCTCAGAGACACGTGGCCAGAGGTTGAGCTGATGCGCAGCGTATCAGACCGCAAACGGC